TGTGTGTGTGTGTGTGTGTGTGTGTGTGTGTGTTGTCCAGACAGTTGTGTGGGTCAATTTTTTTTTCTTTTTTTTTTTTACTCATCGTTATCGACGACCACCGTGCATCGTCTGCGTTTTGGTAGCTCTAGAAGCACAGAGCCACGTTTGAAAGGGGTTGTGTGGTTTGGGGATTGTGGACGAGGGTGGGGTAGGCGCGATGGGGTGGCCAGGGGCGAAGGTGGGTTCTCTTACTTTTCGTCCCTAGCGAGTGAAATGACGCGCGTCGCCAAGGTCTTCGAGGGGTCTTTTCGCGCCTTGGGGAGGATGATAATGACACGGTAGGACAGGCAGGGACGGCTTGACGTTGCACCATCGACGATGCCGTCTCCCACCACGTAGAAGCGGCGTCGTGGGCGGTCCATGTGCGACGTTAACTACAGACGTGCGCATCCCAACCCAGATGCATGTGGTCCGCAGTGGGGTGTCTGAACCACAGAAGATCGACACGCCTGCTGCACACCCAGCGGGTCGACACGGGTGTAGTACAAGCCTGCGCGCCGCGGATAATGTCGCCTGCTCCCCGCGAACGTCTTCACTGCCGCGGAAGGACCACCACCGATGCCATTGTTGCCATCTCGCCACACGTGGAGGATCTCCGTTGGAGTCGTCGTCCTTTTGTCGCACACGTGGACGTCTGCCGCCAATCATTCCGCCGCAGAGCATTCTCGTCATCAATCTTTTTGCCGCGGAGCGCTCTCGCCGAGGTCGTCTTTCTTCTGCCGCACAAGTGTGCGTCGTTGTCTTCTTCCCGCGTAGGAGAGATCTTCTGCGTCGTAGGGGTATTCGTCGTCGTCGCGCCAAACCAGAATGGATCACATTTTTCTCGCCGGATCGGCGGAACTTCATATGGCGGTCGACGAAGCACGTCCCGATCATCTGATCGACCGCCAAGCTCGCCTGCAGACGTGTCCACGAAATATGTACACGCGAGGGAGCGCCCGTGGGCCGTGGTAAGAAGCGCGACGACGTCCTTGACGACAACCAAGGGCAGGGAAGAGGTCGGCGGCATGTCCCGCAAGCGAAAAGGGCGCGTTTGGATGATGCGTCACCAAACTTGCCTCCTCGTCCAGCACAAGGTTGGGCGGCAGCAGCRGAAGGCGACTACRACGACGACTTGACRACTGAGAAAGAGCATGCAGAGGCGACCCCGTCTGCAGTACGGGAGGGCGCACGGCAGCGCTCTTCTGATCAGAGCGCTTCGAAGAGGTTGATGACCCCTCCACGCGAGGCGCARCAACCACGTGCCCGTGATACCCGGACAGAGAAGGCTGCCTTCGTCGATGTGGGCGGCGACGATGACGAGCCCTTGCACAAACGTCGCCTGCGCACTCTAACACAAGGCACCCCAGCGCCTGCGGCGACGGCGCGCGTTGCGGTAGACGAAACACGGGCGGACTGCCCGCCACACCGTCTCAGCCACGTCAACGCAATCCGGGTGATGACGGAGGGTCCGTCCAGCGTGGCGGCGGGGGGGAAGTCGTGGCAGAACCGCGCGCAGTTGGCGGCAAGGCGGCAGGTGGTGCGGGTGCGGGTGCTTTAGGCACTGTGGCCCCCGTTGCGGCGGCGAGAGAGAATGCGGCAGTTGTTGCGACGGCGAGAGAAGAGGCGCGTGGCGAGAACATAACTGATCAGGACGGTGGCAACCCCGATTCAAGTCGGGCACGTAGGGGTGTGATGATGAAAGATCTCATCGATAGTGTCATGCTTTGGGTTGACGACAAAGCTTTCTGGATGACGGGGGAGGGGCGAAGACTATACAACATCGTCCACGAAATGAAAGAGTACTTTGTTGCCATCGACAGCGGCCTTTCAGCGCCTGTCGTACCTCGGAGCGTGGTCCTGCCCAAATCCAGCACGAAGGTGGCCAGGATCACTGACCCATCACAGCTGCAGCAAGCGATCTCCCGTGCGGTGGCAATTGAGAACATTGCTCTGCGCATCTTGCACGGCTGGATATTCAAGTTCGGGAACCGCCCAAGGGGATACAATGTGGCTTTCCAGTACTCGCTGGAATCCGTGGCGACGGACATGCGCATGGAATGTGGTACGGCGCCCTCCGCGTTGCACAGCCAGCAGCGCTCTCCCAACTTCACCGTGTAGGGCAGCATCGTGGCCGCTTTGCTCGCAATGGCCAAGGATCCGCAGTGCCTCGCCTGCCCTGCCTATATCCTGTTGCGCGTGGCTTGGAGTACCGCTCAGTCGTGTGCCTGGGCTCCCGGATCTGCGCCCAGGCCTGAAACAGAAAAAGGGCCCAGGCTTACAGTTGTGCCCCCGTCATCCAGACCTGTGTCCAGATTCAGTCAGTGGACCGGTTTCCTGTAGGCAATTCCAGCCTCTGAGTTCAGCGTGCATTGTCGGCCTCACACTTATTCGCCCAAAGCCTAACTGTCATTCGAGGCCCTGGGCCTCATGCAGTTGCTGAGATCTGGCACTTAGGTGTGCCCCAACCAACTGGCGTGGAGAAACTGTCTGGCGCAGSATTCGTGAATTGTTGTCTGCAGGGCCTCTTGTCAATGTACAGGCCCGCCTTCACTTAGGGCGGGCACGAGGCTTGCTGGGGGCCTTAGCCCAGTACATGTGGATATTGGCTAGGCCCCATGAGGGCTCATTCCTCACAGGATTGACTGGGCAGGATAGCGGGAAAAGGGGAGGAAACAGCCTATTCTACCAAGTATTGTGAATTTATTCATTTGTATATTAATGGCTCCAGTAATTACGTTTATGTTAAGTTTACTTGCTTGGGCAGTAATACCTTTTGATTACGGTCTGGTACTGTTAGATTTAAATGTAATTGCTACTCCTTCCCTCCGAACACAATGCACCCTTGGCTTGAATGTATACAAGCCATGTTTCCAGCTGGATACAGACATGATGAGTGTGGATTGCCGTCAAGGTGTGTGAATGGAGATGCACAACCAGGAGGAAGATGGTAGAGATGTGGAAGAGGAAAGGTGGGAGTAGTGGAGGAGGAGGAGGAGGAGGAGGAGGAGGATGAGGAGGAGGTGGAGGACAAGGTGTGAGGAGAAGGATGAGGGCCGGTGAGGTAGAAGAGTTTGACCTTGGCATGAGTAATTCCTATTGGACAGTCCAGAAATTGGCCGGGGGAGCCCCCATGGGAGTTACTAACGTGTGTGTCCGATTTTGGATTCAACGCGCGTTCCGCGTTGAATTATTCAACGTCTGTTGAATCCGCGTTGAATCCCCGTTGAAACGCCGGTTGGACAGGTATAAACGGGGTCCGCAGTGATGTTTTTCCTAGGCTAAACATAATCCGAAAAAAAAAAAAAAAAAAAAAAAAAAAGGATTTGTAGGTCTTTTCGAGGACTACAACCCTATATTTTATTTTTATTTTTTTATGTTTGAGTATATTTTTAAAAAATCAAAAACATAAACACAATGAAAAAAACAAAAACTACAATGACATGAGTGTTGTTTTCTTGGGGTTTCACAGAGAGTTTTTAAGGTCCAAAACAAAAACAGAAAAACAAATAAAAAATACAGGGTTGTAGATCTTTCAAAGATGTACAACAACATAATTTTCTTAGAACTTCGTGTATTAAAAAAAAATCAAAACCATAAAAAATAAATAAAAAACGGAAAACAGCCACACACACACACACACGCAGACACAGACACACAGTCACACAGACACACACCACACACAAACACATAAACAGACACACACACACACCGAAACACATAAACACACACACACACACACACACACACACACACACACACAACACGTACAAACACACAAAAAAACACACAACAGGGGGCAGTGGGGGATGGGGGATGTGGGGGCAGATTTTGGGGGGTGGGGGTTGCAGGATGTGGGGGCAGATTTCTCAGGGTTTGGCTGCAGTACTCACCGAATGTGCATGACGGGGTTTACGCACGCATGGCTTAGCTCTAGGGTAGGGTAAAGATATAAGTCGCTCCGGCTAGTCTGAGTTCCACCTAGCCTTGGGTAAGCTAGGGGAAGGACAGTAGGGTGTGTCCGCGGGCGCTGGGCTGCCTTGCTTAGGTAATCCTGCTGGGTAGACTCCCTGAATTGGGCCTGTAAAAGATTGCATGAGCCTGGCGTCCGAAGTTCCCGTACGGCAAGGTTCGTCCGCTTCCGCTTCCATTAGGGCTGGGAGGTTGGCCTAGCCATGGTGCTTGTCACTGCTGTCTGGTCCAAGTTGCCCGCAATACTGGCAGGGTGATGGTCCTGAGTGCTGGTCACACTGAGGTAGGATAGTAGGGACAGGGGGTGCGGTGGGAGTATTAACGTGGGGATGGGTAGGGTAGGTGGCCCATCCTGTCAGGACAACCATTGGCTGCTGCTACCAGCAATCACCGCGGGTCTGGTCCTTGGACCCTACAACACCCTACGCTTTCAAAAAAAAAAAAAAA